GCGTCTGTGAGGTGCAGTAAAGATATGCCTGTACCTGATCAGTATTCCTCTTCCTCAGAACTGCCCAGGCCATCAAAACGAGGAAATTCTGAGAAAACACCAATAGCCAGGAGGAGCCCGGAGACATGCCAACTAAATGAAGCCTGCAGTCCTGGATGGAATCTGGAACAGAAAGGGACATCAGGGAACAGCTACGGAAATCTGAATAAGGAATGGGCTTTCGTTAGTATTAAGTGTGCATGTCGGTTCACTAATTACGACCAATGTGCCATAAGAACGCCAGGCGTTAACTGGAGAAACTTATAAAGGGAATGGAGAACAGGGGAGTTCTAGTATCTTTGCAACTTTTCTATAAAATAAAACGTATTGAAATATAAAACTGAGTGGTAACATGTTTGTTTTTAAAACACCATTTCTGGACAATAGACACAACAGCATTACTTCTGCAGGTGAACAAACTAGGAGCCCAGAAACACCATCCTGCCAATTTCAGCAATTTAACAGGATCACAGAGAAAAATTCCCACATCAAAACATATTAAGAGTCTGGGAACTTCCTTGGATGAAGCCCACATCTCCATCCTTAGTAAGGAACGTGTACAGAGGAGTGCTAAGGCACAGTATTATTGGGAGAGCTGCCGAACTAGAGAGTTCTGTGCTTTAAAGTCACCAGGTGAAACTTTTGCTTTCAAATTTTAAGTAAATGCCTGCTTCATTTTACATTTAGCAAATAGTTTAAATAACAGCATAGTATTGCATAGTTTATAAATGTTTATTAAATGTCAGTAATCTTTACAAAGCAAATATTAAAAGCAAGAGGCAAAAATTCTGCAAAATATGTACAAAAGTAAAAAGCCTTAATAACTAGTAACTCATTTTATAAAACCCAACTGTCCTTGCCACTTTCAGACCTCCTTTAGAAATAATTTATTGCCAACCCTGAACTAAAGCACTGACAGAAAATAATTTACAATATCAGATAATGCGCTTAGTTCCTGGAAAGTTATAAAAAGATATATGTATAAAAAATCCTAAGCCACAAATACTTTTATACAGAACTAATACAAAGAATGTTTGGTTGGGTACAGTATTATGAGGTTGTTACAAAATATACTTTTTTATAAGGCTCCTTGTAGTAAATGAGTTCTCCCCACTGTATAGTAGTACTGTACAGAAAAGCCAGTGAAAACATTTTCTACTTCTGCTTTAAGAGGTAAAACAAAAAAGGGGGAATGTTAGTTTGTTGCATTTTTACATATACTTTCCATGAATTAACCCCTCACCCCATCAAATAGGCATGACTGAGGACAAATGTATCACTTACTATGGCAAGAAATATATAAGCTTTTAAAATACAAAGGCAAGGAAAGTAGCCTACTTCTATCATGATATTCACTGATTGAAAATTTATGCATAGTGGGTCAGCATACGTTGAGGCATCTGGAAATGATCATTATGAACAGATTCGAGTATGTCTCAAAACCTCTAATCAACCCAGAAAATACTGCCCTATCATTAATGCTTTTTTGGTCCATATAAGCTCTGGCATTTGCAATCAGATGGCTAGACCTGGATGAAATAAGAATGAACATATTTATTTCAATGCTAACTATACATTCAAGTACAGACATAAGCATGCTAGCGGTACAAACACTGTACTCCATATGATGTTAAGAATCACTTAACTGCCTAAGGCTAATATCAATGTGGTGGTACTTGAAAAAGCCATGAAAGAGCCATGAAAGCCAACTTGTTTAAAATGCTCAGGTTTAGTCTTATACTTCAATTTCTAGCATAAACTTATTAAGCCCTAGCCTCGTACCATAAAATAACGGGTATGTATTATTTGGGACGTGGAGACACATACACACCCATTCCCATACCATCCCTCCCTTCCTCATGTTTACTGGACAGAAAGCCAATCTGTGTCCTATCATTTTTTGTTAGTAAAGCAGCACATGACCAGATTGTCGGTGACTAATGGAACTTAACCTGTGGATATGACAGGAGATAAAGTGGCTCAGCACTAAGTAGATCTCCAACTGAAAATGACATGTGCAAAATTTCTGTCCTGATTCCTCAAATAAAACTAGAAGAAATGAAAAGGTAACAGAGTAACTTTCTCTAGATTTATTAGGGAGTTTGTTACAAATAGTGAACTGAACTTTACAGGCACGATTCCATGAATTCAAATAAGAGTTAACACTGATAATTTAGCTTTCTCATTACATATACAGAAATAACATTGCTACAAATTTGCAATGGAGAAAATCTTGTTGCAAATGGCTTGGTTTGGGGTTTTGTCTAAATGTATCATTATATAATGAAAGCACCAATTTGAGGGTTTCTCAAATAGTGATTTGAGTTTCAGAACATTAACTTGGTAACTTTATTCTTCATCTAAATAAGGCATAACTGGATATGTGTATTAATGCTGAAAATACATTTCATCAAAAGCATAAATACAAGTATTTGGGTATACATTGGAAGTTAAGATTTACTTATTCCTTCTTACAAAAAATTATAGGACATATGATTTCTGTCAAACCTAAATTAATATTTCTAGTCATTTCTGGTAGTAAGGTCATCTTACTTCCTTCTACTTTAAGCCAACCACTGCCACCAACTGAACAAGGATTTCCCGAAACAACCTCACTAGAGCGATTCACCAGAGGCTCCTAACTTTGTAAAATACATGCCAATGAAACTTCAAAGAAAACAAAATAAATAAATGGCCCCTTTTCACTCACATTGCCTTCTCGGATTGAGGCTGCACTACAGCCATCCAGTGCCCTTTCCGGACAAGACTGAAATGAAGATTTAAACTTAACACAGTATTTGGCAGAAAGCAATGATTCAGGTTATTAAAATAATACTTAAGCAGAAGAGGCACGCTTTGAATTATTTGGATCTTCAGAAAACATTTGACAAAACCCTTTTCCTATATGAAAATCAAGGCCCAAATTTGTGGTGTTCTTTGATTTGTAATATAAGGCAACTCTGTATACTACAAAGTTCTTCAAGGTCAACGAGGATATTTTGTAGCATTTCTTAAGAATTAAACAAGAAGACATTCAGATTTAAGAACAGAATGTAAGAAAATTAGGCACATCTTATTCCAAATAATCATGAAGTCTAAGAAAATCTTAACACATGAAAGAACTTTAAATCATGTTTTTAGAGATTAGGGGTAAATTGGCATAGCTATGAGCACCCTTTTAATTCTGTTTACTAACTGTCACCTCCATCTTCATATAGTGGTATTTCAAAAGGATTTGGTTTGCATGATATAGGTATAACGACTCCTTCAACCAGTTTAAAAATACAGTATGTAAAAAGAGTGGACTAAAGCATTCAGATTGAACTTCATAGTTCTACTGAATGTCTAAACAAGTCAGCCATTAAATATAAGTAATTTGCTGCCTCAAAGTGTATTCTAGATTTTACCATAAAAGAAAGTTGACTCTGAGACATCACACACATCAGGAAAGAAAATCACAATTGCCCAAAATAATACCATATCTGTTTGGTGTTTCAATGTTTCTTGTTGGTAGCCAATATGGGGAAACTGGTGATTTCTGCTTTGTCAGGCAATATTTATGGTTCACGTCACAAATCTTAAATATAACATAAACAGACCAAGTGTCCTCTTCACATAGGGAACTCACTTCAGCCCCTCGCTGGAGTTAATGTTTTGGCCATTCCATAAAACCAATAGCTAAATTTACACACAGGCTCTCCACCACACAGTCCAAATGTTACTGTGCACATGATATTCAGAAGCACTGAAATTATTCTATGAATTTAAACAAAGTATTCTTTTTGGCAAGAAGCACTAGATGTTTAAACATGCATGGACACTTGCATTATCATGTGGGCGACAGGTCTGGAGGTCATATATCACCAAGGCATGAAAATACTGGGAGTGACTATGGATGGAACTGCAAATGCAAGCAAAGTCAGGTATGCAAGAACAATCCCTGGTTAGCTCAGAGAAAAGCCCTATCTCATACTAGACAGCAAGACAGACCAAGAGCCATTGTTGTAAAGGTGGGTGGCTCATAATGTTCACCCATCTTTCAAGAACTTCCTCGCCAAGAAAATACCTGAGAACCCAGTCAGCTATACAGTAAAGTGACGAATATCACAGTCTTAGTCACAATTTTCAGGAAAAGGAGAAAAGCTGCCATTTTCCAAACTGTCCCCAGCCTTGTCCATCTTTTCCCTAATCCAATTCCAACACTGCACTTACCCTGCAAGCCAGGATTTTCAGTACTGCAAACCAGCCATTCTGAAGAGTCTGCTGTGAGTGTATCTGGAATCAAAAAGCTATTGCATGGGTATGTTTTCATTTGGTAAGAAATGGAGGGAGATCAAATGCAATCAGATGTTGGTGTGAACTAAAAATATTATCTCGTTCTCAGGAATATCCTTAAAACATTCCAAATGCACCTCAATAAAGCTGGAATTTCATAAATGAACATGCACATACTGTGCTTTTTTAGTGACATACCAAGAATGAGTAGGAATTTGAAATGATACCTTCTTGTATCTTGAATAGTTTGATACAAAAATACTGCAAGCTCCAAATGAACAACAAAAAATCCCAAAAATGCCACTCTCTGAGTTAATGGGAATAGACAGGAGAGCAAAAGAAAAGCGTTTGGGATGGTACAAAATGGTTTCCTGCCCTAACCGGTTTGGCTCAGTGGATAGAGCGTTGGCCTTCGGACTCAAGGGTCCCAGGTTCGATTCTGGTCAAGGGCATGTACCTTGGTTGCGGGCGCATACCCAGTAGGGAGTGTGCAGGAGGCAGCTGATCAATGTTTCTCTCTCATCGATGTTTCGAACTCTCGATCCCTCTCCATTCCTCTCTGTAAAAAATCAATACAATATACTTAAAAAAACAACAAAACAAAAACAAAAGCAAAATGGTTTCCTACAGTAAGGCCCCCAATAATCTGAAACAGGATTTAAAAGTCTGAGAGTAAAACACATAACATCTGGAAAGGTTATGTTTATTTAGAAAGTTCTGTTATCAAGTTGCTTGCAATTTTTAGTTACTGCCATCGCCAAGATGTTTCACATCCGACACTTTTATTACATATTTAAATATGAAAAGGGTAAATTGTATTTCACTCATAACTTTGACCAAAACACTATATATGGCACTTGCTTGCCTTTTGCTCCCCCGTACCATTTGTGAACTTCCATTAGCATCAAACCAGAAATCCTCATGTAAACTTTAAAACACTAAAAACATTACCTTTAGGAACCACAGAAATTTTAAAACAAAACAACTGTTATGCATGTATGAAAAATACATGAAGGCTAAATCTGGTGAATCTATAGAATGTCATTCCTAAGATCAAAATTTTTTCCAATAGTCATTTCAAAATAGGTCACCATAAAGCTAGGCACGAGTGTTGCTGCTATGTGTCAGGCAGACAAAAGGTATCTTATTTGTTTTAGAACTGAATATTCTCAACCTCATACTACAAATACTCAAGGACACCTGCTATACTTGGCACTACAGGACAATTCAGTTTGAAAGTGGAAGGTGTTAAAGCCTGAACTATACCTCGACTGAGGTTTGGCAGAAAATTACAACTCCACTCTAATGGAAGCCATAGCGAAACCGATCAAAGCCTAAACTTCAGCAGATATTGGCAATGTGTTGTTATTCAGCAGCTTTCAGCCACAAACCAAAGTCTGCAGAAGAAGGACTCAGATTTCAAAGAACTTCAACACAGCATCAAGATTTTTCTAATTTCTGTTGTAAACTATTTGAAAAAACAAAACAAACAGAAAACAATAAAAAAGACAAAAAGGCATTAAAACAGCAAGTCTTTTGTATATCACTGTAGCATAAGCTGCTTGAGGTTGTCATGAAGAATAGTATCCTTCACGTCACGGAAAACCAGGCGGATGTTTTCGGTGTTAATAGCAGTGGTGAAGTGGTGGTACAAGGGCTTCTGCTGCTGGTCCCGGCGTTTGTTACGGAAACACTCCACCAGGAATTTTTGGACGTCTCTTAAGCAGTGGGGATCCCCTTCAAATTCTAAGAAATAGTCTTTGATGCTCACAATTTGCACTTTCTCCTCAAGCAAATCTGTCTTGTTTAAGAAGAGAATTATGGATACATTGCTGAAAACCCGGTTATTGACGATTGTTTCAAAAATGTTCAGAGATTCTGTAAGGCGATTGGTCAGTCGGTCTTCCATAAGCACCTGGTCAAATTCACTTGAGGAAACAAGGAAAAGTATTGATGTCACACTGTCGAAGCACTCAAACCAACGTTTTCTTTCTGATCTTTGACCACCTACATCGACCATTTTAAAGGGAACATTTTTAATTTCAAAGTCGTATTCATGAATGCCTTTGGTGGGCCTTCGGGCAAGCAGAATATCTTGTTGTGATGGAACATAATTCTGGGGGGAAAAAAAAAGCTTTTATACTCAGGAACCAGAATTAGAATTTTTAATATTCTACTAAGTGTCTAGTGAACGGATATGCAAGCAAAATTATCTTCTTAACATGTTGACACCTCTTAATAATACTAAAGAATCAATACTATTATTATTCCAATTATACAATGCCAAATATATTAAAATGTTAGTGTACGACGACCGGTTCAAAATTCACTACAAATGAGCAGCACCTATTTTTTTTTTTTTTTTCATTCCTGCTCAAATTTGAGTAAGGTCTTATCTACCAACTGCTGTGTATCTGCCTTCAGTATAACTCCCCACCATAACCCACTCTTAGTTTCAGCCAACTGCTCATGCATACACCTGCTCCTGAGGTCTGAATGTCAATTCAGGAGGATCACTTCTAGGTTCTGCCTCTCTCTAATCCACACTAAACATTCCTTTACCGCCTCAATGACTAAGACCCTCTATGCTGGTCACTCCATGTTATTATCATCGCTGCTGTATTACAAACATAGAAAACACTTCCTCTACTGTAACTCATGAGCTGACTTTACTTGGCCACTTTCTAGGTCTGTTTCCAGGGTATGGTGTAGTTGTGTTCCAGCTGTCTCATCTACTGACACAAGTAGTCATTTACTCTGTCAGCACTTCTGCCTGTGAAATGAAGGTGACGATGGCTTGCCTACCTGCCTCTAAGGGACAGTTTATGCAAAGGTCAAATGAGCCCTTCTCTGTGAGCAGGCTCAGACAACTACCAGACCCTGAGCAGACAGAAGCTGCTGGTCTCACGCGTCACTGGCTACCGTACCAGTGCCTTTGTTATGCAGTATAACTGACTTTCTCTCTTCTTAGGCTAGTATTTTTCCAGAACGTTGACAAAGCTTTTTGGCAACACTGAACAGAAGAGCCTTAAATTCTCATCATCAAGGTCAGCATATTTTTTAGAATCAGGGCAAGTTTTTAAAAACAGTGCTGTTATTTGCAATGCTGCATTTTATGTCTTTCCAAATAGTGCAATATGATTCTGAAAGTGTCCTTACAATGCGAATTGTAAACTTATCTCCTGAAAATAGGGTGTTGGAGTAAAGGAAAAAAGGAGGCAGTTCACAGTTATCTGTAATTAACAGCCATTTTATTAAGTAACTCTGGGACTCCAAAGTATTGGCATTTCCAGGTTTCCTTCTAGCTGTTGTTCACATACCTACCTACTTTACATCGATGGATGAATGTGATATGATTTACAGAAACATTCTCCTACTAGTGCTCATTTAGGTTGTTTCTAATTTTTTGCTTTAATTAATAGAGATGCAGCAATTAAAATTCTCATGCAAACATCTAAATAATCAGGAATAAGATTATGAGGTCAAAGGTTATAAACATTTTGACAACCCTGGACACTAAATGCCCAACTGCTTTCTAGGAAGGTGGTACCAATTCACAGTGCACTTGTGTGCCAGATGCCTCAGAAACATGCCAGCCCTGAATTGTTCTTTCTTTAAAATGCTCTAGTTCCAAAAATATAAAAACATATTTATTATTGCCTTAATTAGGAGCTAACATTCTAGTTAGGAAGCTAAAGGCTAATTCATACAAAGCATAAAACACAGGACAATGTCATTTAATACTAAATGGTGTAACAGTAATAGTGATTAGGAATGTGAATTCTAGGGTCAGCTTTAATACTAGCTGTGTGACCTTGGACAAGCCACTTAACCTCTCTGTCTCAATTTCCTCATTTGTAAAATATAATAACATTCCTAGGGGTGCTGTGAGCACTATATGAGTTAAAGGAATGAAGTGCTTAAGAGTCGTGTTTGGCATACTTTATGTTACTATCTAGCAGTTCCTACTGTATCAGCCACCCACCACCACGGCCACTTGCGGTAGAGAGGGAAATCAAGAAGGCTGTGACAGGCAGGTAAACTTCCACTCAAGTCTCTGCAGTCTCATTTTTAAATGCTCACCGTTCATTTGCACTTGACAATCTATTCACAAATACAATGTCTACAATTAGAAAACTCATTTTCTTCCTTACCAACTCCTCCAACTCCAACCAGTAAATTTTCCTTTCTATTTCCTGTCCCGCCAACAATGTCTGCATTCTCTAAGCCTCTCTATCATCTCCTATCTCACATTAAATCCTCTGTTCCTTCTCTGAATCTTTCCTACATTTTTCCTTTCCTCCTTATTGTCCCACTTCTTTCATCTCAGGTGTGGATCACCATCTCTTCACTAGTTTCTCTGCCTTGAATGCCTTGCACCTCTTGGTTTCACCTCTAAGCCACCCCCAGACTGACCCCTCCTGCATGGTGAGTTCGGAACCACCCACACTCCATCAGATCTGAACTTTGCTGACTGGCTTTCATGACCCTCCTTAGCTAGCACCTTGATCTTGGACTTCCAGCCTCCAGAACTGTGAGAAATAAATGTCTTTAAGCCCTCCCAGGCTGTGGTATTTTGTTATGGCAGCCTGAGCAGACTGAGACAGGGGGTTTATTTCATGGAACTGTCCCACACCCCATGCGGTCGGTTCTCTTACTATGCCTATGACATGGATGAAAAAACTGGTTTAGAAGCGCCCAAGGTCACACAGAGCCAGTCTGTGATAGCACTGGGATTGGAGCCCAGGTCCTCGATCTAGGTGCTGTTCCACCTACCAGAGGGTCATGGGGCTGGGCACACAGAAGGGTTTCAATGGCCCTGGTGCCACAGTCAGAGATGGAGAAGCAAATGCAATCCTGTGACTTGTCTAATATGTACAGAATGGGTGGCCGATGTCCAGCGCACCCAGGTTTACAACTCTTCCCTCCTTTACAACTACCAACTGATTACAGCACTTTTTCCTTTTTATTCCAGATGTAGCCTCAGAACTGTCCTCAATATAAGACACCAAGTAGTTAGTACAAAATTTACTGGAGTTGGCCTATAGCAAAAGACCAATAAGCATAGAACTAAGTAAATCAACTGTAGTAATAAGAGCAAGGAGGTTTGAAACAAGCCAGGGCTGACCCTGAAAACAAGAGGAGACCTACTTTAAGCGGTATGCTCAAAGAAGGCCTATGTGAAAGGCAAATTAAGAAGAGCAGGTCAGCCCAGCCGCTGTGGCTCAGTGGTTGAGCATTGCCTATAAACCAGAAGGTCACAGTTCGATTCCTGGTCGGGGCATATGCCCAAGTTGCAGGATCGTGCCCTTATAGTGCAGGAGGCAGCCGATTCATGATTTTCTCTCATCAGTGATGTTTCTATCTCGCCCTCTCCAAAGTCAATAAAGATATATATATATATTTCAAAAGTATAAAAGAAAAAAAAAAAAGAAGAGCAGGTCAGTGTTTGGATTGGAAAACATGAAAAAAAACTCTTAAAAATTAGTTTATCTACTAAGGATTCTCTTAACATTTTTTAAGGCTTATAATCTGACCAGATGGAAGAGTGATAATGAGATAAGACTTAATAAAAAGTTTCATTGATGTGGACTGAGTAAGAACAGATAAATATGGGGATCCCAACTTCTGGAACATCTGTGTGTAAGAAACAGGTAGGAGAAAAACACCGGTTTTAAGGGCAGACAAATACAATTGAGCAAAATACAAAATAAGGGAAAATACAAAAATTATCCTGCTAGAATAAAAAGAGGGCACTTTTTCACATGTCCTAGATCCATCGGTATGTTACTTTCCTACTTGCAATGGGTTTCATGTTGTGCTTCCCTTAAGTTATAAAGTTAAATATCTCAAAGAACCCATGAGATCATATTAAAATTTATAACAGAAATTAGCTTTACGAGGAGAAAAACAGAACAGCACTAAACCTAGCAGGTAACAAATGACTCTAAGGCAATGGCTTCCAAACATTTTCTAGGCGGCAGAACCTTTCTCCCAATGGTGTCTTCTGCATGAATCCAATACGGAGAACAAACAGTGCAGCTGCTCTGCCCGCGGCGGCGCAGGCCAGGGCCAGCCACAGCCAGCTGAGAGCTGCTGGCTCTGAGGGATACACGCAGGAAAATCACAAACTCTTTCTCCTACAACGTGGAGTCTCTTCATTGGGCCTCCAGTATCTAGCCCTCCTACACTGTAACTCAACACAAAGGGGCCCCGAGCTGGAAAATACCGTTTTCTGAAAGGTTTTAAAATCAATGAACTCACTGTGTTCTTTCTGTTTCTGTTTACAAAAAACCCAAAAGACAGTAAAGTAGAACATATAAAATGCAATCTCATTTTCAAACATAAACTTCTTTCTCTAAACAGTTTTACTTTCATAAAGCAGCGGATAGGGCAATTCTTTAAGGAAATGGCAGAGATCTGGATAGTAGAGGGAGAAAAAAATGAAGTGGGAACAGTCAGAATACTGCCATTAGGACACAGAAAGAAGCAAATAGCCTGATACATACTTTTTCTAAATTTCCTGACATCAATATCCTGACTATTGCTTTCAAATGGCACTGAACACTCAATTAAAAAACTTACTGGTTCTCCAAGTTTATCCAAGTTATCCAGGAAATATTTTACAGATTCACCCTAAAAGCAAGAAGAAAACAAACAGTTATTAGGGCTGAGAAATGGAAGATTTTGTTACAACAGTTTATATTAAACTGTCTGGTTGTACACTTAATCCAAACATAGTTTGTTTCAGACTGAACACTAACCCCACTAAAAACATATAAATGTCTGCCTCTGCCACAAAGTGCCACAGCCTGGTTAATTTCACAAATGCTTTACATAAATGTGATCATCTGCCTGGATTGCATGTATGCTTTTGATATCAACTAAACTTTAAGTGGGATTTTTGTTTGTCTACATTTTTCTGCCTTAAGTTTATAGCAACGGTGGTTATCTTCAGAGACAAGAGCAAACCAGAGATGAGGTGAGAATACCGTATAAAATATCTTCCAATTATAGGCATGTGCCTGGAGACACACCTTGCTAAGGAAGATTTTGAGTAATGGAGGCAGGCTTCTGTCTCCAATAGGTCTTCTTTTCCTGAGTGGCCAGCCTACTCTCACTGAGCCCAGGTTTCAATTGGCCCTCCAGGCAATTCCAAGCATCTAAACTGTGTGAGAATGTGTTCCTAAAAGGCAATACTTTAACAGAGGAAACCATTTCAGGAAAGAAGGCTCTGGGTCTTGGAATCTCCCAGTGCGCTCTCCCTGTGTTTTCACTTTGCCTGTTGGATTTCTACTGAGGCACTTCCCCTGCCGGAAGACCCTGAAGGCTGGGATTCCTTACTGTATGGGAGAATCACAGGAAGACCTTGCTATACTGTAGTTCCGACTGGAGTGGAGATGGGCTGGGGGAGGGAGTAGTTCCCATAGTTCAAGTGACTTCTGGGACCACACTTTCAGGCATAAGGAATTAAAATAGCAGTTCTCACATTTTTTTATCTCAGGATCCCTTTTCACATCTTAAGATTCTTGAGGAACCCAAAGAGACTTTGTTCATGTGGCTTATAGCTACTGGTATTTATTTACCATATTAGAAAGTAAAACCAAGAGATTAACAAATATTTTACTTAATAATTCATTTTAATATGTCAATAAACCCATCGCCTGTGCATCTATTTTAACATATCTTAATAAAAGATAGTGAGCGCTCATCTGCTTCTGAATTTGAACTGCTGCTACTTTAGGTTGGTTGAAGTATATGATGAAAATCTGGCCTTACACAAAAATGTAGTTGGAAAAGAGAGAAGTGTTTTAATAATTTAGTAAGAAAACACTTCCTGAAGTACTAGTAAACTACTAGATAGATGTTTGTGCTCTAAAATTGCAAAGTCCAATGGTTTAAAGTGGCTTACATCCGTTCCATGCATAGCCAGTCCTTCTATTTGCAAGTTTGAAATATTTTAAAGAGAAAAAAAATCAAGAGATATGAGAGAAAACTACAAATCTGTTTACTCCTTAAATTAATTACTACTGTGACTTGTGTTACCATATTATATTGCATCTATTGCCATAATAAGGTATAATATGCCTTTAATTTTCATTAGTTTTATAATCCCCAAACAAAGCCAGGTCAAAATGTTTTCTGAATACTCATTAAGCAGGTTTCATTAAGCATATGTTTGGAGAAATCTAGTCAATAGGAAATTTATTAACCTGCCTTTAAAAGTGACCTATAGGTGTTTTTTTTAAATTAATAATTCACATTTACATAGAGTAGTAATTGAAGCCCTGCAAATATCTTTGTGAAGCCACATCTAAATAAGGATCCTTTTGGACAACATTCTGTGCACAGACTATGAGTAATATAAACTTTTCCATCTAACATTTACTTATGTAAGGTTTATAGCAAGAACTGAATGCCAAATAGAAGTAAGGTACAAAATGAAAAAAGGGTGGGGTTAAAAGTTGGTTAATGAACCAAGATTCTTCATTCAGTCTAAGGAAGTGGCTAGTAACAAAGATAATTACTCAATTTCCCATCTGACTTGTCCTTTCTCTATTGTTTCTTCACATATTCACATGATATTGCTCTGCCCACACTGTTTGAAATCTAAGATTAGAACATTATACATATTCCTTAAAGACAATAAATATAAAACCAGGCCTGATTATATTTAAAGAGTGTGTTCATAGCTTTGAAAATGACTCTAAATTAAAAGATCTTGAAATCATCCTATTTCAAACATTTTAAATCTATCATCTCTATGATGAGTGCCATGTCTTTTTTTCTCCCCTTAATTTTAACTTCAAAATAAACCATAATAAAGAGGCCAGCTCTGCACACAGGGCAGGCATCAAGCTCTCTGGTCCTGAACCTGTCATGGGCAGTTTCACTTCTCCTTTCATTTATTGCCCTCCCGATGTTCTCATTTTGCCTGGTCTTCACAAAGGACCTATTTTATTGTTCCTTATCTTTGAGATGGCCTACTTTTTGTTTAATGACGTTCTCTATTCATTTTTATTTGGAAAAAGCATTTTAAAGTATTGATGTGACGCACAGTACATGTTTTTAATAAGGGTGATATTGTCATCTTCATCATTAAAGCATGCTTAAAGTATTAACTCATGTCTTTTGTTTGGTTCACAAGGAGCGAGAGGATTTACTTATAGTCATAGGAATATAAACTATTGCCCTTCGCTTTGTAGATAGGTCAAAATTATGTAGACTCCAACTAAATGCAGAATTTCAAATTTCTTGCTAGTATTTTCTATGTGCATCATTTAAAACTTCCAAAAGGGCCAAAATTAGTTAGGTACAACAACATAAACCACCCCAATACTTGAAAATATTTTTCATCAAATTAAGTACCTATCCAGATTAATCTAAGATAATTTACAACAGCCTAAATCAAATGTCCAAAAGAATACCTAATTTAGACAATTAATTTTAATTCTTTCTTGCATATAAGCTATAAAAATAAACCAGTGCACAAAATTAGAAATGAGATTTTTGGAAAGAACTCAATTATCACTTTATTTTATAAACTGCCCTTTCTTTGCCACTACTCACAAATGAATAAATTCCTTTTTATATCCAATTTTTCAATTAGACTTACCAACCAAATAATTTAAAGTTAGATTTTAGTTTTTAAGAGTATTCCTGTAGTCCTACCAAATTCCAATTTACACATAACACAAAATGTACAATGCAGTTTAGTAATTCTCTTATTTTATTAAAATGCTTCATCCTAGAGATATGAGAAAAAAACTTAGCCATATGTCTAACACATTTTTGGATACATGGATATCTTATATTTATGCATGTGTACCTAATACTTATATGCTATTCAATTTTGTTATTTTAGAAAGTATCAATTATCCTCAAAAGTCTGTATAAAAACTACAGTTACTTTTAAAAAATAATACAGGTTTCTGAGTGAAGGCCAGCATTTCTCTTAAAAATCTTCTTCCTGTAAAAATGAAATGCAGGCCCTGGCAAAGTAGCTTGGTTGGTTAGAATGACACCCCGACATGCAAGGTTGCAGGTTTGATGTCTAATCAGGGCATATACAAAAGAAGCAATCAATGAATGAATGCATCATTAATTGAAACAAATCAATGCTTTTCTCTCTCTCTCTCTCTAAAAATCAACAAAAAGAGAAATACAAATTTTAAATCTAAGAAAGAAGTTTAATATTACAGCGAGGGGCTAGCTTTAATATTCTATATAATTGACCAAACGGTGGAACGACAGGTCCCTATGATGCGCACTGACCACCAGGGGGCAGACGCTCAATGTAGGAGCTGCCCCCCTGGTGGTCAGTGTGCCCCCACAGGGGGACTGCCACTCAGTCAGAAGCTGGGCTCATGGCTGGCAAGCGCAGGGGTGGTGGCAGGAGCCTTTCCTGCCTCTGTGTCAGTGCTAAGGATGTCCAACTGCAGGCGTAGGCCCACTCCCCATGGGCTCCTGCACTGTGAGAGGGAGTAGGCCGGGCTGAGGGATGCCCCTCCCCAGTGCACGAATTTCGTGCACCAGGCCTCTAGTGATATATAACACTGCTTAATTAGGCAACATGGTAATTTACTGCATATTTATTCTATGTTACCATTTAGTATGACCAGTTTCTGTTCCTTACACACACGCACACGCGCACACGCACACGCACACACACACACACACACACACACACGAGAGAGAATTTTCCATGTAAACAAACAAACAAAAATCACATACATTTTCTAAGAATGCCTTGCCAGTTCTGAGAAAATCAGTGCCTGCAGGAAATACTAACGTTGCACTTCTAAGTGAACAGGATATAAAACTGTACAGAAAGTCCTGAAAAGCTTATCTCAACACCAAGGTTGTACTGAAATACCAGAAGGAAATACACCAAATATCAACAAAGATATCTGTGGTGGTGTATAAGTGGCTGACTGGATGCTTTTCTACAATGGACATATAGTTTTAAATAAAATTTAAAAAAAAAGCTAATTTGGATTCTGGAGCGGGTAATTCCCTCAAAAAATAAAACAAAACAATTTTCCTACATTCCAGTTTTCACATAACAATAAAAAGCTTAGCGTTTTGAGAATTCCTCAAAACTAAAATACTTTTTTGGAAAGGGTCAATCTTATACAATCCGAACAAAAAAATATTTAGCTGTGCTAGCAGAACTAGAACCTTTCAGTAGTAATTTTTTTTATTTTCAAAAAAGAAATGACCTCAATTGTTAAAAAGAAACAAAAAACACAGTTTTCCAACACAGGTCATACTTCCCAAATATAGTTTCAATTCCCCTGATAACCAATAGAGGGCCTATAAGAGCAATTCACAATACCCAGAAGTCCTTGTGAATGCACACCGGATGGAAAGTTCTGCTCTATGATGTGCTACAATGAATCTTGAAATCCCCACAACTCAAAATTACACAATAATCAACATTAAGTAACATTAACAATCAACATCAATTAATAAATCCTATGCCTTTATTACACAGCAGGTGAGAGGAAAACCCAGATCACTTTATTCCCAGTTAGGTGTTGAACCTATTATTCCCAACTCTGGCCAGCAGAGTAGCTCCACACAACCTGCGCAAGCTTTAATCATCTTCCCTTTCCCATCTACCTGGCAAACAC